GGCTTTTTGAACAGAAATCAAACATTATTTCGATCGCTGACTGGTACTTAGAATGTGATGAGCAAATGTCTAAACAATTCTTTGTTTACAGAAAAGTTGAGTAACACTGCTGCAATATTGCGACTCAGTGTCCCTCATTGGATGAAGGGACAAATTCCGAATTTTTAGCCGATCTTGACAGACGCTGATGATTATGAAAGCTTTCCGGAGGATGGATCCAGGAGCATTCAAACGACGCTGAATAGAAGTGCTCCAAAAGAGTTAGCATCATGCAACACTGCGAATGATCAAAAATTAGGTTATTTAGAGCTGAGGCCTCCAAAATCTGAAGTGAGACAGAGAAATGGGATAAACAGCAAAAGACATTTTTAACGGAAATCATAAGCTGACAAACAAACATATTGATCTTACTGGATAGCATTAAATTCAGGTGCTCAGAAAATCGAATATCATCCGTGCAAACTTATTTGTTCGATGTTCTCGAATGACTCAAAACATCAAAAATACGTCTCCTGAATCGATCACCTTGAGACTGAAATTGCCATCTGATAGATTTTCACTTCTTTGCTCACCTTTTTCAGTAGCCAGTGAGCTGGCCCATTATTTTCAGACCTCCTTTATGAACAGGTGTAACAAAAACGACATCTTCTTGACTTCGCCATACAATTGTACTCAGTTAGCCTGATTGCAGGGACTGCACCAGCATCGGTGATGAAATATCCGACCTCGACATGGATTCATTCAATTGCTTCGTATGTTTCAATGCCACTACAGCCCCTCAGCTATCATCAGAAAGGACAAAAATAACTAAAAACAATTCTAGAGCCATATTGCAGAAAACAAAAAGGCTGCTAAATGAGAAAATGCTTTCACAATTGATCCGTATTGCATTACAATAATGAAAATTTTATCGGCACTCTGCACATTTCATGGACCGTCCTCTGACTTTCATATATTACAAAACGTTGAAGCCTCCCGTTTGAAAAGTCTCCTAAAATCAATGCCTGGATATTTTATTATGAGGGAAATTGAAATTCGTTGAATAGATTAAGAAATGATAAATCGTAAAATCGTAACTTTGATGAACCCTCTTTATGATGAAAGAACCAGTAATCTCATGGCATCTGTATCCTTCTATCTTGCAAATGACAGTTCTTTGAAAAGATAGGGTTTATGTTGATTTCCGAAACCACCGACTTCTCAATAAAGCTGTAAAATTCTTAAAATATTGCTTGTACCTAAAGTTTAAAACAGTTCCAGAGCCATATGGAAAGAGTGAAATATACCATTATACCAGAAAATACTTTCACAATTGAGTAGCATTACGTTATGTTAGCGCAGAAATTTATCGGAACTATATTCAATATAATATATGGAACATCCTTTGACTTTCTCACACTCCGAATTAATATCTAAATTGCTTCGTTTGAAAACCATCTGCGCATTAAATATAAAATTGTTTCTCAATGATAAACCGCGAATTTATTGAATATATTGAATCCACTCTTTGTGCTCCAAAAAAAGTTGTATCAATATGTCACAGTTGAGAATTATGAGAAACGCTCAGAATTTCAGCATATTCGTGATCATTTTACCTAGTGAACTATGATGGAAATTTTCAGTGATTTGCTACCATTCAGATAGCTGACAATTCCAGATATGAACTATTGATTGGAACGCGATCACCCATGCAAAATCAATAACAACCTACATAAAATTTAAACGTATTTTGCTTTGAGAAAATCCCTCTAGCCTCGTAATGTCAATATGATCATCGACATTTTTTCGTCCAATGTATGATCAAGGAGCGTTTCAAATTGAAATTTATTTCTTGATTGCATTTTTAAAAAATCGTTTGAATGCGATTAGTTTTTATTATCAGTTTACTCACAAATTCGCTTGTCATATAATCAATTTTTGAAAAGATGAAATCCATTTACTCGTTTCAAACTGCTCAATTTCCCCACACTCCCTTGTTGAAAGAATCAAATTGTAAGCAAAATTGATGGGCGATTTCTTCGTAAGTATTCGCATTCTGAAGTGTTCTTTTTCATATTATATGAAAACTCTTAATAGCTCGAAAAATTTCCATTTTAACGTGCAAAACTTCATGCGTTGTTATCAGATCACTAAGCTTTGCAGTGATTATCAAAAAAATGCTTACACATCGAAAATCATCCCGTTGTTAAACTTGACTACGTGTAAATACATGCAAATTTATTGTCTCAAAATATTTTGCTTGTTTTTCTGTGGTAAAATCAAGTGTTCACATCTTTGCTCATCACATCATGGTCGTATAACTATTCGCGTCATTACATAAAATGCACTCATTGATAGAAAAAACTTTTGATTATAGTTCAAAAGATCTTTTTTTTTTCCTTGACTATAATCAGAACAGAACAGAAATGTTGTCATATGATTTGAAATGTGCGAATTTGCTGTTACTTTGAGTGCTATCAAACGATAATTCTGTAAACCCTCTATTGACGTGCAATAGTCACGTACTTGTTGGTTAAATGATATTATGAAACTGAGGAATGTTCTCATGCAACTTTTTTTCCTAACTCCAACATATCTCCACTTCCACTATGCTCGAATGCACTGCGAATGATGCTTGCATCACACTCATAGGTATTAAGCAAAATGCTATAAGTTGGTAGTTGAGTTGATCAAAACAGAAATGTTGTCGTAAGATTCCAAGTACGTCAACATTCGTGTTGAAGTCAATGAATAGTACGTTTAATATTAACATATTTTTGAAGCTATTTATTCTGCATAGCAGAACATTTAAAATAATTGCAGAAAGAAAACGTTTTGGAGCTTGAAACTGTCGCATGCAGGCATTACCTAGGGTGATGAATACAAACAGACCAGTCATACACTACCTAATCTTTCGTTTAACGATCATAGGCCAATTAGAATTTTCGCTTCATCAACCCAAAATCATAATACACTCGAAAAGTGCTACTGTACAAACGAAATTTGAATACCTTTATTACACGAAATTTCAAAAAAAAATTTTTTACATCATTCGTAATAGAACCGCAACGTCCACTCTGATTTATAGCCGTCACATATAGATGTATTATCAAGCCATATGTAAGCAGTAATATCGCAGAAAAATGAGAATCAAAAAAAATATTTGAGAATTGAACGGTTTGAGGAGTTTGCAATGCAGATTAACGACTTCTGAGGTTCGATTTTGTTATTGCCTAATATCTAAACGACTCAAAAGATTGGACATTTTCTTCCAAAAGCAGCAAACAATTTGAACCGTTCGATATTGTTATTGTTTACATTCAGCATTCGAAGATTCGTGTTTATTAGAACTCTGTGCCTTGTACCAGACCTGGCACAATTACCGACCAGTAGTTCCTTAAAATTCGTGCACATTCAGTTTGTTGTTTATTTCACTTGAATTTCCAAACAGATCCATCATTTGAAACTGCAGCTACAACCAACTCTACAGCGACAACTGTACATTTCGTCCGGATAGTTTAATTTACGCGGAACGATAGAACTCACGAGGACAGTCCATTTCAGGCGAAGTAAATTTCACTAGCAGTATCTCGTAGATGTATGAGAATCGGTGTTTATAAGCAATGACCATTGGCACTGTTCACAAAACACATCCAAAGCTTATAAGGATCAGGCAATACGCTGAATGTGTTCATGCTCGAGGGCATCTGTTCTGACACTGAGTTTTCAACATGTCAAATACTTTGGTCAATTTTTCACTCATGAATGAGTTCTCAAAGCCTCTTGCGGAACAAGATGTACCCAAGAATGCTTTTTTTGAACTCTTCTTGCTATCTCGAATTCAGGATGAATTATACATTGCAAAATCATTTGCCTGAGTTCTCAAATTTTTTTTCCTTACAGACTGATTCCGAATTGTTCATGATAAAGTAGCACGGGTCTTTGGCAGAGCAAATCTGATTCTTCATTACGCTTGCAATTACATTTCTTCCGGAAACCAGCAAGAAGATCCATGAAAAACTGGAACGATATTTTCATTACAGCTTCGATAGAATGATACCCAGAAGATGGCTGCCACATCATATGTAAACGTTTATTTGTCATACACACATTGAAATATAATACGAGAAGTAGAGGTAATATCCAGATGAAACAGCATAACACACATACAACTTTATTACTTGCGTGTGCAATGCCATTCCCTTTAAATAATATCTTTTCGGCATCGTTGTTCCATAACGGAACAACTTAACGATGAATATGCTCTACACAAAAACAACTCATGACTTCTTGTGTGTACACAAAAAATGTCATCTGTAAAAAATGACCACAAATAATTGAACGTCTGTAAAAATGAAGGATACAATTACAGTCTATCTCCGCACATCTGAACCTCCCCTCCCCCTCCCCCAAAACCTACATCCAAAGGATCGTATGCAATGCGTGAATGACTATAAAAATACAAATATGACGTTCAATCGGAAACAAAGCGTCTCTCTTGGTTCTGCGAATGTGCTCTTTATGGATTAAAGACCCAAAGTCCAGACATTTTCATCTGTGGTGAATGAAGCTCATAATATTATGAGCTATGTGAGAAAATGTCGAAGAAAGAGCATAAGATGTCCCCGCATAATTCATGGAACTTGGAATAACTCACGATTTTCCTTAGAACCTACATTTGTGTGGATTATTGAGAAAGGCGGTTAAAAAGATCCACTTAAATTAACATGAGTAAGCTTCACAATGTTTAACTTCACAAATTATTTTCCGTATTAGAACATTTCTGCTATCCAAAAAGAGCCAATACCCAGAAAGTCCAGATATGAGGAGATAGATTGCCCACCGAAAATTAAAAAAAGCAACAATTCAGGCATGGAATCATGCATATGGTACATCACTGCTGATGATATTCACGGTGATCATGCATGGATTACATGCTGAACAATGGTATCTGAAAAACTAAATGCAGGATAAGAATATAAAGCGCATATCTTTATCGGTGATTGATTAGTCAGCAGAAATCATTCGACATTGCTGACGGGTATCCCTTGACAATGATCGATCATTTTCTTAATGACAGCATCAACATTCACTCCTTCACTGCAGATGTTCGACAGTACTGATGAGTATTTACCAGCGTATGGATTCTGAAAAACAATCGAAATATTTCAATATGAGGTTATCTTCTGGCCGGTTACTATTACGAATATTCGAATCGAACTTTGCTGTGGAGAAATCTTTCAGCTTTACCGAAGCTTATTCGAGTGGATTTGCCAAAAAATTTACCGAAAAAGTATAAGAAACATTCTATAAAAATTCTGTGTTAAATGGATGGATGATATTGTGTCATTCAGTTGACGCATAATTGGTTGAATGATCAGAATCAAATGGAAAGATGAAATTGATTCACTTCGTGCAAATTGAAGCACTTCTGATCGAACGCTTCGAGTATTTTAAAGTGACATTCCGGATGTTTTATTGGTCCGCGTGGACTGTTGAGTACGCGTTGCTGTTTTTCCGTGGTGTTGAATAGCTTGGCTATCAATTCTTTCATGAAACCGTCCAAATATTGACGTTTCTTAAATGATCGATATTTTCAGGTACAATTTTCAACTGAATAATTATGGAAGCTATTCTGAACAGAGCGTCTACATTCTCAGTCACTGCTTGGTCACTTTATTCATAATGAACGAATGAAGAAATTATCTTGGTGAAACAGAAAAAAAAATTAATAGCCCAGCAATTGCTCTTATTCGTTCTTCATGACCACGCTGGCTAAAAAAAACACTCAAGGAAACTGATAAATAAAAAACATACTTTCTGTGCCTTGATATCGACTGGTTTTTTCTGTTTACCGGGTTGTTGTTTAAGCGCATGCTTCGTCGGATCAACAGGTTTTGGTATCTTTTGCTTCAATATACAATCGATGATATTACTGCTGATACTTGGACACTTATTAATGTTAATATTTGGCTTTACATTTGCTCTACATAGATCACTGAACTATACTAAAGAGTTACAAGTTTTCAATGCAGAATTAAGGTTTACGATTCATGGCACGCTCGTAATGAAAGATATGGTTTAGCTATGAGGTAAGTTTCAGCTTTGAATTTTGCGATCGTTCCCTAAGTAAACAGCTCTCATACGTTAGGGGTGTAATGAGGTCCGTGCGGCACCTGAGTAACCTTAGTCCTGTGAGGACTACCTGACTAGTGTTTCTCAATTATCATGTAGTGGTCCTGTCAGGCGTTCATAAATTCAACAGCAACGTTGCAGACAATTTCAGCCCGTCTGCTCAATCATGGAAACTTGACTGGATATGTTAAAGGTGGAATGAGGTCCAGAGGTATCATCCGGATGATTTGTTCTATTCTCATTAACAATAAATTAGCAACAGAATTAGGATTTTCCATTTTTACTGCAGGCGTTCATGGAATTACCTATCAACAACAAATTCATCTTCAATCGCAACGGTACTGATATTGCTGTAATATTGCAGCAAATCCATGAAAGTATGACCAAATCGTGTGAAAAAATAAAAGCTGCTTCATAAGAGCAGTGGTTTTGCGTGACAGACACATTGCAATGTTAAATTATACTTTGAGAAATGAAGCTGTCGGGCTCCATTCCTGTGGCCATCCCTGGAACGCGGCAACAGATTCATTCTCAATCGAAAGATCACCATATCGTGATACATTAGAGGATCGCACGTTACCATAGACAACTTCGTATTGTTCACGCAGAGTTTGATTAGTACCGAATTCTTGCTGAAATCATTCAGAAAAGTCAATCTGTCCAGCGCGTATAATGAAATTGGATTAGAAACTGGAAGCATGATATAATCAGTTTTAAATTCTCGAAGTGATAGACACAATTTCATTTTTATTGACACCTAATGATGAGGCTGCAGTGGTGGGCAATAACGCACTGTTCGCTACTCTGCTACTAACAAAGGAAACTTTACTAGTGCCGCGACAGGTCGTTACTTTTTCATACAGCAAGAATTAGTAGCGATAACTTCTCTAATTGTAAGAAAAGTTTTTAGCGGCAGAGAATAACGACGCCCTGCTTTCCTTGATTACCGTTCTAGCAAGCTCAGGATTGGAATGCAATCCCGGTGGAGGAGAGGGGAAAGAGGAGGGAAGGGAGAAGGAGAAATCCCATTTTGTTCACAGTCATAATTCACATTAGCGTTACAGGCGCAGTAAGAGATCGGTATTAGATTTAATATCTGCAGTCATTTACATAGCTGCAAATGATGCGCCACATCGATTTCCATATCTCGCTCTTTTTCTAAATCTGCAGCAATTCCAAGCACTGACGATGAGTCTGAACCTAAGCCTTAGCTTAAACCTTAATTACAACCTGCCCCCGTCAAAACTGAGAAGATTGACCTTACAGATCAGTCCAAGGAAATTCTAGCGTTGACACATTTTGTGTCACGCTGCTAGATCTGGTTTTGGGGCAAGATAAGTGTTTGGAATGGGTGTAGGAAGGTTCCGGCGGAGGATCCCATGGGTGACAGTGCCATGACGATTTAAATGAATCATCTAGCCTACGTGTGCGAAGTATTTTTAGTTTCAGGGGATGCTTGTACGAAAATGGGTCCATATATCGAATCTCATAGTGGTGGGGAATTATATCGCTCCCATACGAGGCCCAAACTTCCTGTTTTTCCTTTGAAGAACACAAATTTGAATATTATTTCCGAAACACTTTCGAAAAAAAGCAATACAAACTAGTTGTAGACGCGAGTTGTGGGTGTTAAAGGATCCAGAATCCCCGTCGGAGGAGAACGAAAATTTCTCAGAAGAGGGCGAACATTTTGATTGCTCCATCACCACCACGTATGAATTGGAGTAATCTATGCAACGAAACGAATTGATATGCGGTGGACTGTGGTTGGATGGACTGGTCAATGCTCACTGTAGGGTTTGCAAATCGCTGATTGTTATTTTTGGCACAGTATTCGTTTTGCTCTCTTTTCGTCACGGGTATTATAAGTTTGATGAAGGCTTATAACTAGGTTTCGTTTGGGATCAACTATTCAACCGTTTGGGTGCCTCGTCTAGGAGCAAAATGGGCGGAGGGACCTTAATAAAAAAGTCAGAAAACAACATTGTCCGGTAACTGTTGAGGAACGGGGTTCACGACAAACAGTACTTATAACCATTGATGTCCAAATTTGAAGAAGCCGGTTAAGCTCTGCCTCTGGAACATTTTATCAAATTCAAATTCTGCTCCAGCTAGACAACTGGAAGTTTTGACAACGGCTTCAGCTCTGTATTTTTCGATCAAAATTATGAAAGACGAAGCTTAGGTTGTCTGGAGTTGGGGCCGGAGTAAAAAAATCAACAATGGGGGGTCGGAGCTGGAGCTGTATCAGATTTTTCATATTAGGCATCAGTGGTTCTGACAATGAATAGCTGTTATTTGAGTTATGAGCGTTTTGCGGAAACCAAGAGGGGAATCCGTTGAATTCTTACGGTTGCGAGATTTTCGTGAGAGTGGGAGTGCTATACTGGTGCACCTCCGAAGGAGGGGATTGGTTTAAGCTCGGAACACTCGGCCTGATCTAAACATAGCGCTATTTTTGCGGTTACCAAGAAATTTTTGCTACTATTTCGTTGGAGGTACTACTGGGGAACTAGTTTTAGCAAATCGAAACTTTTTGAGCGAAATGGCGTGCCCATCACTGCGAAAAAAACTGACCTATAAGTTATTCGATAGAACCAAAAACGTTTGATCAAACCTACCATATCCAAATCATACAACCAACTCTTCGGAAATTCCGTTGCTAAGCAAGGAAGTTCATCCATGCCACACTCAGTAGAGGCCGATGCTTGGTCAACATCTGATGATGTCACCGCATAGACTAAACGAAATATGGAGGTCAGTCCAGGTCATGAAGTCGGTACAGGTCAGTTCTCATTTGACTGGTTTTTTATTCGACTCATCTGATTTCTTCGAGAGGGAACGTTTGATTTTCTCAGCCTCGAGGAAAAGCTTTTTTGCAACAAGGGTTTTTGTTCAAGGGCAGACTTGTGCGATGCGGTAAACCATTTTGTTGATCTTATAGCTCAAACTGAAAGTGCTGTGTGCAATGTGATTTCTCGGAACATCGATTTTGCTCCAATTTGAGATTCGAAATAACGCAAAATTATGTTACGTTAGAATAGAATTTGCTTGACGTTTGTTTTCTGTTCAAACTGTGTTCGATAACTCTGCGTAATAAAATGATTTTTTTTTAATATAACGAGTATAATTAGCTATAACTAGCTATATAACTAGCTCAGCCTGAGGCGCCCCAGAGGCTCACATATATTAAAGATAACGTACACCTCACAATGCTCCAAAATTTACTGGCATGATTTTGATAGACGACTCGACAATTTTACGTTTACAGTCCGAAATTTCGAGCTGCTTGGATATACTTTGCAAACTGCCGATTTCAGAAGTGAACTGTTGATTTTTTCGAAATTTTCGAAATTCGAAATTCGAAATCTGTCTCGAAATACTTCTAAAACTGGAAAGCACAATTCCACTTCCGATATGGCTCCACATCCGAAGTAGATGAAAACTATTCGAATGCTTAGACGACGCGTACCGCCGATATTGCTTGGGAGGATTCCATCGAACATTGAACCGCTGTAATGTGAATCCAAATAGATCGCGAGTTTGTTAAATTGTTTCTTCCGTTTCATTCTTTTCAGTGTTTCCGTCAGTTCATATCCAGTCACCTGAAAGTGAATCGATTCATCGAATAAACACTGTTTCATGAGGTAGGGCCAAACTTCAACTCCCATTCACGGTCACATTACTCAACAAAGAAGATATTAGTGTTCATCTCGATATAGCGGACTAGTGATGAATTTACAAGTAAGTCAAAAAACGGTATATGTGAACTACGGATTATTTTGATGATATGTGCAAATGCTACCTTATTACAAGACTAATAAACAGCTTTAAAGTCTCCGTCGTCAAATGAAAACAGTGCTGAATATTGTTTGAATCGAAAAATGTCCGGACCTTGAACGTAAGACTGAGTGTAACGTCGGAACAAAGCGTTAGTCGAAGCCTAGAAGACAGCCAAAAAGCTTGGGCTCACTTGATCTAGGTCGAATTTTCTAGTTTTCGAATCTTTAGTATCAGCCATTTCGAAGCGGTTATTGCTAAATGTCGAAGTCTGTTAGCCGGGGAAGGCGATTCGCCGGAAAAGGTTGATAAGAACTGGTGTAGAACAAATTATAGAAGCGCAGTTCCTGTTTTCAAGTACTCTACTTTGTTTTATGAGGTTCCCGTTCGATAAATTTTTGGTGAAAATAGTTTCTGTATGAAGACTAATGTTCAAAATGCCTCAAACTTCCGGAAAATTATGGCTACAAAAGGTCGAAATCTTTAGTCTTCCCCTGCCAGACATTTCCTTCAAGCTTGATCCCTTCAAGTTTTTCTAACCCGAGTGATTGAAGCCACCATAGATGTCTTATTGTGATCGCCCTTCTGTTCAGTTCATGACTGGTTTGCTTAAAAACATCGGAAACAAATGATGCAAAAATTTGAGCGTTGGTGAGTGCGTTGGGCACGACAACACTCCTTTCATCTGTTTACATTTACTAGAATTGAGAATCGAGAACGCAAGTTCGGGAGAATCAATCATTTACCATATTTGATAAGCCAGATACCAATGTACCATCGCTTGTTGACAAATTTGCAAGGACTTGGAAGTTTCAAAGAAGCTTGAATATTGAGTTGGAGTTAACTGTTGGCGAGTATTTCGAACAAAAGAATAAAAAGTGTCCTGATCGAGTTGACACAACAACCATAAATGACTTCAAGTGGCTAGGGATAATAGTATTCCAGAAATCCCGACCATTTCTCAATCCTAGAATCGGAATTTACTCCCGGAATGGAACAATGATCATAAATTGAAGACAAAGCACTAGTGCTCACAAAAGACGATGCAACAGCGATGACATTAAGAAATTGTTGTTCACTGCTCCCAAAAAATGAACACCGTAATTNAGCTAATGTATAATGATTAACCCACTCCTTGCCCCTTGATCACTAAACAACACCTTACTGAATATGAGTGAACTGGAAGCGATTTCAACAAATAAAGGTGGTGAATAATCAAAAATATGTAAACATCGAAACGTCGGGACTTCTCAGAACATGAATTTCGAGGTTAAGGTTCCCAATTCGGGATTCCTGTATCCCGTGCAAACTTTAACGGTGAGCACATGAAGGGAAACGATTAAAAATTCGAATGGACCAGTGGTAAGGTGTAATCCCCAGAACATTTCGACGGATTTGGTAACAACAAAGCAGGAATTGGAAACAGTTTTCGGAACAAATTGTGATGAAAGATCCAAAGTTTCATTAAGAAGGGAGTTTTCTCGGTTCAATTTATCAGACTTTCTGTTCGACGTTGGATGCTCAGAAAAGCAACTCTATAATTGTGAACTGAGCCGTCTTATCGACGAAGCAAGAAGTTTGAAAAGGGCAATATTTGCGCTCCATTTGGAGTCTGATGTTTGTGACTGCTTTATATGAACACATGTGACACCAGCTGTGTTTGATGAAATGCTCGTTAGCCCACAGCCATTGGCAAATCAGCCAGTGACGCATTTCAGATATGATTATATCTCTGTGATCATTTCCAAAAGACAATGCGCTCATTGAAATTATGGAATTATGTGGAAAGGAAGTTGTTCGAAACATTCGTTGAACTATAAAATGACATACATGATCAGCAACGGTATTGATAAATCCGGACTCTCCATAAGCTGAGAGGAAAACGAATATATTGTCATTTCTGGTGCTTCTTATAACTCGTCCGCTGCCACCTGTTACTGCATTCGGTTTCCCTTCCAGTATTGCGAGAAAATTTCGTTTATTTATATGCGGTTTCTTGTAATCAATTATCACTGCTTGATGAACATTTAGGTCGTACTCTTCATTGTACAATTGATCATAATATGCATCCCTGGAATACAATCAATTGATTGTAATCAAAATGTGCGCATTAAAATCTCAGTCGATGATTCGTGAGAGTGATCATTTAATGATAAAAAGCAAGAGCTCAAAAAAACGGCGGGTATTGTCCGGAGCGGCGAACCAGCACGGAAAACGTTTCTGAATTCCGAGCTGTTTTTTGATCGCAACTGAGTGGGAATGATATAGTAATATCAAGGTTGAAAATGTTTGCAGTCCTTCGATTCTGCATTCGAGGTGGCACATTCTCATCACGAAAGACATTAGAGTTGTCCATAGTAGGTGTCATTCTTTCAATGAGTTTACCACTTGCTCATTTAGTTAGCCTCACTTTTAAAATGAACCGCTATGAGAAAGAGATAATACTTCGCAGATTCCTCTCGAATAGCCAGCAACATCCCTGGGTGCATGAGAGATGTCGCGTAACAACAGTTTCCCTAAACTGCCTAACGGACAGTTTGTCTAAGGGACAGTTTGCCTAGCAGACAATTGGCCTAACGGAGAATTTGCCTGAATTACGGTTTTTTAATGGATATTTCGCCTAATAGGCAAACTCTTCCTTAGGCAAAC